GATGGTTCAGGAGGCCTTTAAAAAAGATGCATTGAAACTTATAATTAGTAACAATCACAAAATGATCACAAAGAGACCATGCATTCATTTAAAAAGACAAAAGAAGTAAATAAATAAGTGCAATATACATTCTAAAGTTATATTTCGTGTGGGTTTGAAAAAAAAATCCACACATGCAAAAGAAAAACGCTATTTTCTCCCCCTTTTACCTAAAAAAATAAACAAATATAGCACAAATGGTAATGTAACAAATTTACAAATTTGTTACAAAGGTAACAAATGGTAATCCAGATTTCACCGCCTCTGTTAATTGGCCTTTTATGACTAAACTAACTAATGATGATATGTTGAGGGTGTTAATGAATCCTTTACTTCATTAGGGTATTTTTTTGTAACCCACTCATTGAGAGTTATGGTTTAGTTATACTTTAATAAACAGATTTTTGACTCAGATTCTTCACAGCTGCGGACCAAATGTGTCAAATTTGTTAACATTAAATAAAGTTAGAAGTCACGTTTCCTTTATAAATGTATTAAATGTATATGGGCAACTTGTTAAAAGGTGGCACGAAAATTTTCTTGGTTATGGATTCGCTGGAACTATTAAAAAGAAAACTGGCAGAGAACCTGCTTACACTGTGTTTTTGTGAGCTTGGTTTTTTTTATTATACTGATGCAGTGTGTGTGTGTGTGTGTGTGTGTGTGTGTGTGTGTGTGTGAGAAGCAAGGGAAGCATTTTAGTTTTACTAACAAGTTGATTTCTTATCCTCTGTGTCAAAAAGCAGTTTTTCCTCTTCTCATTTGTACTTCCTGTGTGGAGTGTACTTCCTTATTTTACATTCTGTGTGCTGCTGTCTGTTATCAGTGTTACTAAGATCTCATGTTAAACCTCTACACCAGTGATTTCCACTCATTTTGGGCCTTTTATCCAGACCTGTCATATTAGTATAATCACCAACACACTGCTCATGTTTCAGTGTTTTATATTTATCTAACATGGCTCATTATCCAAAAACCCATGTTGTTATTTTCTTGCTTTGTTATTATATACTTTACATTTACTTAACTGTTTTTACATTTTGAATGCTGTCATCATAACTGTTTTAATCGTTTATCCATTACCTTTACGAGCATTAATACTGAAAATCAAAACTACAAGTGAATTAAATATTTCATGTCTAACTGACTAATTGAGCCTATCACAGCAGCTGTAATGGGATGAGACGTGGGGCTATTCTGAAATTAATCAAATAAATAAATAAAAATCTTTATTTTCTTTGGAAGAAAATAAATTTTACATTTATATTTATTATTTCTGTATGTTGTTCTGGTTCCCATATTCCTTGAATTTGCAGGGTCTGGACAGCAGCCTTTGTAATGTTATAGAACATTCAGGTTTTTAATCTTCCTCTAAGATTTCTCAGTGTTTTATTATAAATGTTTGACTTTAAGCCCTAAAAAACATTTCCTTCTACCCAGTTTTTTTTTAAATTATTGTGAGTTCATGTGGAGCCCTCACAGTTTGTGTTGTACATGCACAATGACAATAAAGGGCTATTGTAGTCTATATTATTCTTTTATCTAGGACAGTCACAATATGTCATCATAACTTGGTGCCTTTAGATAATTATTTATTAATAGTAGCTAACTATTACCACTGTTTCTTTAACAATGTATTCATTAGCCTGATTTAATAATGTGGCCTGTATTTTGACCTTTGCCCCTCGTTTCAGAGATTTTTTACTTTAACCTGTAGTTTTGTTTTTATCCCTTATTCCACTATTTTGCAACGGTGTTTTGAATCAGCTGGAGCTGATTGTGTGTGTCTGGCTTTGTGTGTGTTTACATGCCTGTGGAGCAGAGAGGGATCCATTTATAGGCTTGCTGTCATTATAGCGGGATAGATTAACACCTACTGTACTGTAAGTACTCAACAATAGCTTACCTTATTGGGTAGTAAACCCAAGAAGGCTGCACGAGTCTGACTTTGTTTTACTGTGGAGGAACAAAGAGCCAAGGAGAATATAACCAGCCTAATTACACACAGACACACACATGCAGGATTAAACGGAGCAGGCTTAATCCCAAACCAAACATGGTCACCAGTGATCCCAATAACTTAGCATACAGGATGGTGGCAAAATCTGTGAACAGCCTGGTAATGACATCAGTGTGCAGGACTAAAGACTTAAGGCCTGACCTTGTGGGGCAGCAGCAGAGGAGCATCGACGATGCAGAAGAAAAGGGGTTAATTAATGTTTTAATTAAGAGTTTAATCTGAGAGGGGATTCACCAACCCTTCAGATATATTCCCAGAATGTTTTAATCCAGACTCTTTAAGACCTGTGACTGTTTATATACAGTGCTTTCCTCCTCAGTGCATCACTGTAAACGATAGTTTTATAATGGTGAACACAAAAATATGATATACAGCTCTGGAGTTGTAAAAACAATAGAGTTCAAAGTTTTGACAAACAAGGACTCCCCTTCATAAACCTCAAAGTGGTTCGGTCCACATCCTGCTGCAGCTTTTACCTTGCAAAGGTGAACTGAAAGGATGTCAGTGGAATTAAACATATTAATGCTGCTGTACGGACTTTATTCTGGAGGTCAGCCCACCATGAAAATCATCAGAACTTAAAGACTTGACTGGATTTTCAAATCATTTTCAGACTGTTTCGTGACATTTTTTGATTTCTCATATAGTTATTCCTCAATTCGTCCAAAATCCAGCACCACGATAACCATAAAGTGACTGATAATGTAGAAACTTCACAGCTAGAGCCGATATATCTGTGACAGGACAGATACTGGACGATAGCTAACGAGCGATCTGTCAGAGCAGTTTAAAATTATTGTCTTTGTGTA